TTCTTTTTGAAATGGACTAAAAAGGAAAGTAAGATAAACATTCTTTTTGAAACGGACTAAAAAGGAAAGTAGGACAAACAAATTGAAACGGAGGGAGTTGGAGATTGTCAATTCTTACATCAGGGATCTGTAAAATGAAGTTAGAATACTAAAATAGATCGACGTTCACATAAATATCCAATAATCTTAATGCCATTGCTTATTTATTGTTGTAGATGACCTCGGACCATGGATAAAATGGGGCTACTATGTGTCTCCCATGTCATATGCGCAGAATGCAATAGCCATCAACGAGTTTCTGGACAAAAGATGGAGTACTGTAAGCTCTACGATTCATTCGCGAACAATGACTACCATCAACTTTTGATTATCTTTACTTACCTATCTTTTTCTTTTCAGAGTAACAATGACACATATTTCTCTGAGGAAACAGTAGGCAAGGTTATTCTTAAGTCGAGGAGCATGTATTTAGACGAGTATATGTTCTGGATATGTGTTATCGCCTTATTTGCCTTCTCATTTCTCTTCAACTTCTGTTTCATCTTGGCGCTGACATACATGAACCGTATGATAGAAATTCTCTCTTCTATTTATAACTTCAGAAATTCATTTCTTGTTCTCTGATCCATTCTTGTAAACAAAATGCAGCATCTGCTGATTCTAAATCTGTTACTATGGATGATGACAAAAGTAAGAAAAACGAGCATGGAAACCGTAATCTCAAAGAATCAACAGAGAAGAGTTCAGCATCCACCACCGCAACGTTTGAAGGTTTGACAAGCATATACATATCCACTTTCCATGCCTTTAGACTTCTAAATGTGATTCCTTTAGAGAGATACTCGTGTAAAATTAAGCGAAAACTGAATGATCATTGCAGATATAGATATGGATGTAAGGAATAACAAAAGAGTAGGCAAAAAAAGAGGAATGGTGCTTCCTTTCCAGCCATTGTCACTTGCATTTAACCACGTCAATTACTCTGTCGATATGCCAGCAGTAAGAAACATTCACTGGGTTCCAAGTGTTGATACTGATATGCTTAATTTCTTACTCATCATCTGGTTGTATGACTTGTCAGGAAATGAAAGCCAAAGGAATTGAAGAGACTTGTCTCCAATTGTTACGAAATGTCAGTGGCGCGTTCAGGCCTGGAGTTCTTACAGCCTTAGTTGGTGTAAGTGGAGCTGGGAAGACTACTTTGATGGATGTCTTAGCAGGAAGAAAAACCGGTGGCTATACTGACGGAAGTATCATCATTTCTGGTTATCCAAAAAACCAATCAACTTTTGCTCGGATAAGTGGTTATTGTGAACAGAATGACATTCATTCTCCACATGTTACTGTCTATGAGTCATTGATATATTCAGCTTGGTTGCGTCTCTCTCCGGATGTCAAAAAGGAAACTAGGAAGGTATTTACTCCTATCATCTCGTCCCTTGGTCCGCAAAAGCCTCATTTATTGTTCCTGCATATGTTTCTAAACCTTGCTCGCATTTTGGTCCCAAGTCCGGATAAAAAAGGAGAGTTACGATAGGCTTACAGCCAGCGTAAAACTAGTCAATTATGATGAATCATCACAATACAGAATAGACAATCTCATCTGTCTTGAGGCCATGTTAATTTTCATGGAAAAGAAGGTGAAGGATTAACTTGCTTGGTGTTTTTGTTCAGAATTTCGTCGAGGTAGTAATGGAACTAGTCGAGTTGAATCCTCTCATGAACTCTCTAGTTGGCCTGCCAGGGGTAGATGGTCTCTCAACTGAACAAAGGAAGCGACTGACGATTGCTGTAGAACTAGTAGCAAATCCATCTATTATTTTCATGGATGAACCTACATCAGGACTTGATGCTAGAGCAGCAGCAATTGTGATGCGAACTGTGAGAAATACAGTAGATACAGGCCGAACTGTCGTGTGCACTATACACCAGCCAAGCATAGATATCTTTGAAGCTTTTGATGAGGTAATGATTGGAACATTAGCAATTATATGACACTCTTTCTTTGATGCCACTGTTCTTATGTGATCGATAACCTTTGCAGCTGTTGTTAATGAAAAGAGGAGGACAAGTCATTTATGCAGGGCCTCTTGGGCATCATTCTCGCCTATTGATCGAATATTTTCAGGTCAGTATCATCTCATTCAAAAATTTCAAGGTGTCGCGGCATTACTGTATAGATAAATCAGTAACAAAAACCGTTTTTTTTTTTCAGTCTGTTCCGGGGGTTCCTACAATCAAAGAAGGATATAATCCAGCTACTTGGATGTTGGATATCACCACTCCAGCAGTTGAGGCTCAAGTTAATGTGGACTTTACAGATATTTACGCGAAATCTGATCTGTACAGGTAACTTTAGAACTGATAAACTAGTCCTTTTGATTATATTTCAAGTACTGTTTTACAACTCAAACTTGCACAGGAGGAATCAAGAACTAATCAAACAATTAAGTGTTCCAGCACCAGGGTCCCGAGACCTTCATTTTCCTACGAAATACTCCCAAACGTTTATCAGTCAGTGCAAAGTTTGCTTTTGGAAGCAACACTTGTCCTATTGGAGGCATCCACAATATAATGCCACACGGTTTTTCATGACAGCAACGATTGTAATCATATTCGGAATTATCTTCTGGGATAAAGGGAACAAAATGTAAGTCATCAGCTTACTGAAGAATTCATTTCTCCTTCTATCATCACTGATTTATCAATGAATCAATTAAGTACGCCTCAATCCTTGCTCGTTTAACCTGATGTGATCATCATGATAACAGGTACAAACTACAAGATTTATTAAATATACTTGGAGCTATGTATGCTGCTGTTGTGTTCCTTGGCGGAGCAAATACTCCAGCTGTCCAGTCAGTTGTGGCAGTAGAAAGAACAGTCTTTTATCGAGAAAGAGCAGCAGGGATGTATTCCGCGCTGCCTTATGCATTCGCTCAGGTAAACGAATCACTAACAGAACATAACTTGTGAAAGTTTCATTTTGGACTAATATTTCATCATGGAAGAGATTAATGTTCCATTTTTCCTTCTGCAGGTAGCCATAGAGACTATCTACGTCGCGATCCAAACTTTTATTTACAGCCTCCTGTTATACACAATGATTGGTTTCCACTGGACAGCTGTTAAATTCTGTTGGTTCTATTTCTTCGTCTTCATGTGCTTCATCTACTTCACAATGTATGGAATGATGCTTGTAGCACTCACTCCAAGCTACCCAATTGCATTCATCGTCATGTCATTCTTCCTCAGCTTTTGGAACTTGTTCTCTGGTTTCCTTATCCCTAGAACGGTAAGTACAATAATCTCTGCACTATCGAAATGAGTTTAACTTCTCTACACTGACCGAGTCAAAGCATTTTTATACTATAAGGTCACTCAAAAGACGCTACAAGTAACCTTCCATAAAAAGTGGGACTAGTATCCCCAAAAATAAGACAGGTTACCTCCTATAACAGGCTTAAAACACCGATAAATGTAAGAATTCTTGTCATTAGTAACATTGAAACGAAACGATACTATATCCTGTAACTCAAATTTAGAAATAAGGATGATTATAAATCTCAAAAATAGTATGAAAAAATACACATTTTAGAGAAGCAGAACAACATCTCAGTCCCAAATAAGTTAAGGTCAGCTATATGAATCTTTGCGACTCCATTTAAGCTCAACTAATATCATCATCACATCAAAAGAAGCAAAACACAACTAACTGAAATTTAAAACATGGAAAAAGATCTCAACATCTGATACGTCAAAAATTTGTTTTTTTGCAGCAAATTCCGATATGGTGGAGATGGTATTACTGGGGCTCTCCAGTAGCATGGACAATATATGGTCTTGTAACATCTCAGGTAGGTGATAAGGACGATAACATTGAGGTACCAGGCGTTGGCGAAATACCACTAAAGCTGTTTTTAAAAGAATATTTGGGATTTGAGTATGAATTCTTGGGAGTTGTTGCTGTTGCTCATGTTGCTTGGGTTGTTCTGTTCTGCTTTGTTTTTGCCTATGGCATCAAGTTCTTGAATTTCCAAAGGAGATAAAATGAACTTGATAAAGTTTAGTGTACACATAAAATGTACATAAAGCTAAGCAAAGAAAACAATTGTTGCTCAGACTCTCCAAAAATGTTGTCTAACTTGTGTCGAATCCTCCAAAATGCACTACTTTTGAAGGATCTGGCATGCACATGACGATATTTTTCAAAAAGTCCGAGCAACATAGATCATCATACTATTTATTTCTTCCATGCTACTCAAGATAGTTCATTTTGTGTCATGTATATGATATATTAATTTTGACGTATAAATTTCTTCTGTAAGAGATTTTCTCTTGAACTCTTGTGATGTTAAGTAAGTAGAACTCTACATTTTTTTTAGTAATTTATTTAAGGGAAAAGACTCAAATATGCCATCGAACTTTGAGAAAATGCTCATCTATGTCATCCGTTAAAAGTTTGGATCATCTCGTCAAATTTACTTGCATTTATCAATTCCTCTCATCAAATTTTAGCCTATGAAAATATAACTCGTCTAAACTTGGAAATAGCTCAAGTCAGTCTATCTAAAAGTTTGGATCAAACTCGTCAACAAACCTATCAAAACATAGAAATACAAGTTTTTTTTAAAAAAAAAAAAAGTTTAGTTTGATTTAGTTATGATAAATAAAAGGAAAAAAAAAAACTTATATTAGTTTGATTTGGTAACTAAACAAATTATTCAAGAACAAACAAATGAAAAAAAAAAAGTATTTAAGTTGAATGCTGATATTAATCCATACAAATGTAACACAACCCGCCCATTTGATACCTTGTATGTGTGTATTCTACTTATTTAACATCACAAGAGTTGAAGAGAAATTTATACATCAAAATTAAATAAATATATGATCTATATTGCTCGAATTCTTTAAAAATGTTGCCAGGTACGTGTTAGATCCTCCAAAAGTAGTGCATTCTTGGAGGATCCAACACGAGTTTGATAACATTTATGTGTACACAAAACTATGTATTGTCTTCAAGTTAATTTATCTCCTTTGGAAATTCAAGAACTTTATGCCATAAGCAAAAACAAAGGAGAACAGAACAGCCCAAGCAACATGAGCAACAGCAACAACTCCCAAGAAGTCATACTCAAATCCCAAATAATCTTTTAAAAATAGCTTTAATGGTATTTCGCCAACGCCTGGTACCTCAACGTTATCATTCTTGTCACCTACAAGAGATGTTACAAGACCGTATATCGTCCATGCTACTGGAGAACCCCAGTAATACCACCTCCACCATATCGGAATTTGCTGCAAAAGCAAACATTTTGATGTTATCAGATGCAAAGATCTTTTTCCATGTTATAGATTTCAGTCCAGTGTTCTGCTTATTTTTTATGTGACGATGACATGAATTGAGCTCAAATGGAACAAGAAGGTTTCATATAGCGGACCTTAACTTGTTAGTGTACGAGGCATAGATGTTGTTGTTGTTGTTCTGCTTCTTTTAGACTAAAATTGTGTGTTTGCATAGTACTTCTAAGATTCATAGGTCGGATTTGTTTCAGTGCTGCTAAATTACGTTCATCTTATTACTTAAACATGCAATGTGGAAAGTTACAATTAAAAAGTTGCCAATAAAAGACATTTTTTTAAAACGTACCAAAAAGGAAAGTAAGACAGATTGAAATGGAGAGAGTAGGATTTAGCTTATATACACCGATAGTGTAAAGAGTTTTACACTAGTAGTGTATTTAAGCTTGTTCTAGGTTACTGATTCCATTCTCTGGGGATGATTAAATGTATAGAAATGAAACTCATTTTGATATTGTAGGGGCTATTGTACTTACCAGTCTAGGGATAAGAAAACCAGAGAACAAGTTCCAAAAGCTGAGGAAGAATGTCATGACGATGGCAGCAATCTGGTAGTTTGGAGTGAGTGCTACAAGCATCATTCCATACATTGTGAAGTAAACGAAGCACATGAAAATGAAGAAATAGAACCAAAAGAATTTAGCAGCTGTCCAGTGAAAACCGATCATTGAGTACAGAAGGAGGCTGTAAATAACAGTCTGGATCGCGATGTAGATAGTCTCTATGGCCACCTGGAGAGGGCAAAAGAAAAGATTTAGTTCTTTGACGACGACTTGATTCTACATATCTATACATAGACATAATACATAAACAAACACTCAAACTTGGCTTCAGCTGGAAAGTAAGCACTCCAACTTTGAGAGTGCACATCTAGACTTGTCAACTTGGTCTCAACTGACAACTAAACACTCTAACCAAAACCCACGGTGTGTCGTGGACACTTGATGCTGAAGAGACACATAAATTTTGGAGGTAACTAGATGATCATTTTGTAGGTTGGAGTGTTCAACTAACATAGTGGTGATGAGTTGATGTGTCTAGATGTGCATACTAAAGTTGGAACGCGTACTTGTCAGTTATCAGGTGAGGCCAAGTTAGAGTGTTTGTGTATGTATTATGCCTATAGACATATTTTTTCTAAGAGGAAACTTATACTATACAAGTAATGTTCTGTTGGTGCTTCTCTTACCTGAGCGAATGCATAAGGCAGCGCAGAATACATCCCTGCTCCTCTTTCTCGATAAAAGACTGTTCTTTCTACCGCCACAACTGACTGCACAGTTGAAGTGTTTGTTCCGCCAAGGAACATAACAGCAGCATACATAGCTCCAAGTAGATTCAATAGGTCTTGCAGTTTGTACCTGTTATCATGATTATCCCATCAAGTTAAATGAGCAAGGGGTTCCATGAAATGAGGCCTAGTTGATTGATTCGTCGATTAAAACACTGATGACAGAAGGAGCAAAACGAGTACTAGTGCAAGATGATGACTTACATTTTGTTCCCTTTATCCCAGAAGATAATTCCAAATATGATCCCTATAATTGCTGTCATGAAAAACCTTACGGCATTATATTGCGGATGCCTCCAATAGGATAAGTGTTGTTTCCAAAAGCAAGCCTTGCACTGATCAACAAACGGTTGTGAATATTTCGTAGGAAAACGAAGGTCTTGGGACCCTGGTACTGGAACACTTAGTTGTTTGATTAGTTCTTGATTCCTCCTGTGAAAGTTGAGTTATAAACGACGGTGAGCTAGTTAGTAACACAGTACTGAAAGTAAAATGAAAAAGACAATGTTATCTTCTTATTACCTATATAGATCCGAGTTCGTGTAAATGTCTCCAAAGTCCACATTTAGTTGACCCTCAACTGCTGGAGTTGTGATATCCAACATCCAAGTAGCTGGATTATATCCTTCTTTGATTGTAGGAACCCCCGGAACAGACTGAAAAAAAAAAACGGTTTTTGTTACTGATTTATCTATACAGTAATGCCGCGACACCTTGAAATTTTTGAATGAGATGATACTGACCTGAAAATATTCGATCAATAGGCGAGAATGATGCCCAAGAGGCCCTGCATAAATGACTTGTCCTCCTCTTTTCATTAACAACAGCTGCAAAGGTAGTCATTCGCGTGAGAAGAACAGTGGCACACAAGAATTGCAGATTTGTGAAAGTTATATTCCTTCCGTTCTATTTTATGTGAAGGTGTTTAACTGAGCACGAAGTTTAATAAAGAAAGAAAGGCTTTTGGAACTTGTAGTCTAAAAATGACGTATTCGCGGCTATAAAATCATGTCACTATGAGTAAAACGGGAAGTTCAAATTAAACTGACTCCAAATAGAGAAAGTTGCCATTCTTTTTGGTAGACTTAAAAGAAAAGAGTGACACATAAAATAGAATCGATGGAGCATAAGACAATATTCCAATCATTTACCTCATCAAAAGCTTCAAAGATATCTATGCTTGGCTGGTGGATAGTGCACACGACAGTTCGGCCTGTATCTACTGTATTTCTCACAGTTCGCATAACAATTGCCGCTGCTCTAGCATCAAGTCCTGATGTAGGTTCATCCATGAAAATAATAGATGGATTTGCTACCAGTTCAACAGCTATGGTCAGTCTTTTTCTTTGTTCAGTTGAGAGACCATCTACCCCTGGCAGGCCAACTAGACAATTCCGGAGAGGATTCAACTCGACTAGTTCCATTACTTCCTCGACAAAATTCTGAACAAAAACACTAGGCAAGTTAGTCCTTCACCTTCTTTTCGCTGAAAATTAACAGGGCTATTTGCCTCAATCCAAAGAAAGATGGGATTATCTATTCTGTATTGTGATGATTCATCATAATAGAATGGCTTTATGCTGGCTGTCAGCCTATCGTGACCCTCCTTTTTTATCGGACTTGGGACAGACAATGCGAGCAAGCTCACACTGGCAGATTTATTTTAAAATTGCTTTAACAGAAAGATGCTTATTCAATGGATATTGCAAGGTTTTGAAGCAGAAGCAAAAATGAAACTTTTGCGGACATGAACATGATAAAAACAAAAGGGACAGCAACGATGGGAGCAAATACCTTCCTAGTTTCCTTTTTGACATCCGGGGAGAGACGCAACCACGCTGAATATATCAATGACTCATAAACAGTAACATGTGGAGAATGAATGTCATTCTGTTCACAATAACCACTTATCCGAGCAAAAGTTGATTGGTTTTTCAGATAACCAGAAATGATGATACTTCCGTCAGTGTAGCCACCAGTTTTTCTTCCTGCTAAGACATCCATCAAAGTAGTCTTCCCAGCTCCACTTACACCAACTAAGGCTGTAAGGACTCCAGGTCTGAAAGCGCCACTAACATCTCGTAACAATTGGAGACGAGTCTCTTCAATTCCTTGGGATTTCATTTCCTGACAGGCATACAACCGGATGATGAGTAATAAATTAAGCATAACAGTATCAATGCTTACAGCGCGAAGAATGTTTCTTACTTCTGGCATATCGACATAGTAATTGACATGGTTAAATGCAAGTGACAATGGCTGGAAAGGAAGCACCATTCCTCTTTTTTTGGATGCTCTTTTGTCAATACTCGAGTTGTTCCTCACAGCCATATCTATACCTGCAACAATCATTCAGCATATGACCAAATTTATCATGATCAGTACAATAACCTTCGTTTATATATATTTTTCAGTGTCTAAACCAAGCTATAAATTTTTGAACCTTCAAATGTTGTGGTGGTAGATGCTGAACTCTTCTCTGTTGATTCTTTGGGGCTACGGTTTCTTTGCTCATTTTTCTTACTTTTGTCGTCATCCATACTAACAGATGTAGAATCAGCAAATGCTGCATTTTATTTACAAGAAAGGATGAGAGAGCAACAAATAAGTTTCCAAAATTTTAAATAGAAGAGAGAATCTCTAGCTTACGGTTTAAGTAAGTCAGCGCCAAGATGAAGCATAAGTTGAAGAGAAATGAGAAGGCAAATAGGGCAATGATACATATCCAGAACATATAATCATCTGAATACATGCTCCTTGACTTAAGAAGAACCTTTCCCACCGTTTCCTCGGAGAAACTAGTGTCATTGTTATGCTGGAAAAAAAAGATCGGTATGTAAAGATAATGAAAATTTGATGGTAGTCACTGTTTGTGAACATAATTGCATAGCTTACAGTACTCCATCTTGTGTCCAGAAACTCATTGATAGCTATTGCATTCTGTGCATATGACATTGGAGATGCATAGTAGCCCCATTTTATCCATAGTTCGAGGTCATCTAACAACAATAAATAAGCAATTGCATTAAGAATATTGGTCATTTATGTCCACCTATAGACCCCTGATGTACAAATTAACAATCTGTAACTGAACTAGTCTTCTGTTATAAAGAAATTTATCAATCTAGAGGATGTCATAATGAACCTTTTGCGACAATGAAACCACCAAGCACAAAGACTATCAGTAGACTGAAAGTGCCAATAGTGCTTGCAACTACTAGAGTCCTTCCAATTGCAGCAATGAAGCGGAAGAGAGACAACGCCATCTGGTGCAGAGCGAAAAATACCAAGAATTGACGGAAAAACCTGAAAATTTTCCGAGGTCCAGATAATAGAAGTTTGATCAGTTTGAGCTCATTATATTCCTATATATTCATACTGACCATGAATCATATTTTGGTTTCTAGGAGTGAACGGTGGTACATACCTACTTGCAGCAGGAGCAAAACCGATGGTATAATAAGTAAGGACAACCCATATCAATGATTCCATGAAGGAGAGGGGGATTCTTAAAAGCCAAATGGGGAGAGCAAAAGCCCAGGCAGGATAAAATAGAGAATCTCTTTGTTTAAAGAATACGGGAAGTCTGAAAATGATCAGTGCAAGCTCTCCTGCACCGTTAAACATCACATTGATTAGGCTGAAAAACAATGCCCCGTAAAATTTGCCTCCGTCTGCAATCTGTCCAACTTTCATTTCTGTCCTAAAGAATACCGTAAAGGTTATTATTGACATGACAGTAATCTGGAATGTCTTGAACATGTATAAGAACGAATTTCGCTTTATTAATAGCCATTCCCTTGATAAACATGCCTTGAAGAGTTCCATGTTGGAGATACCATATTTTTCTGTGACAAGTGCAGCAGGATGGGCTTTGCTTTTGTCATAAGCAGCTTCTAGTTCATCGAGAAGGTCACGTCCAACACGAAAATTGCTAAAATGTTCTGCGAATTCAGCCACTGTAATGAATCTGTAAGGTTGGTTTTCCCTGAACCAATATTGTTCTTGGTCCTTTAGAGAAGTAACCTCTTGGAGAAAGTCAGCAATTCCTTTCCTTTCTGGACATTTAAATCCAACACTCTCGAAAAACTCAAGCACGTTCTCACGTGGACCTTGGTAGACTATGCGTCCCTCCGAGAGCAAAATAATGTCATCGAAAAGTTGAAAAGTTTCAGGTGCAGGTTGAAGAAGGGATATTATCATAGTTACATCCATTATATGGACCATTTGTCTCATGTATTTGACAATTTGAAATGTTGTAGAACTGTCGAGGCCCGTTGAGATTTCATCCATAAAGAAAACTTTAGCAGGACCAACCAACATTTCTCCTGTATTCAATAAAAAGTTGAGACAAATGTCATATAGTGAATATGCCATGAGAAACTGATCAAACTAGTCAAATAATGATATACTTGTTTGACTCGACATGAAATTCAAGAATGAAAGAAACATTTTCATCACATACTAAAAGTTCTCTTAGAACTCATAAATTAAACATGCCATAACATTTATTTTAAAACCATATCATTAAGGGCAAGTGAGAAGTTTAAAGTTGAAGAATTTCCAAATATTGAGGAAATGGATGGAGCAATAGTTTAGAAACCTGTCGTCAGCCGCTTCTTCTGTCCACCTGATATACCTCTTCTCATCTGATCACCTACCATTATATCAGCACATATATCCAGCCCAAGAATCTGCAGATTTCCTCAATAATAAGATACCCCTAATCCGGTTCTTAAATGCACCGAATTATTATGACTAAGATCAAGATCTAACCTTAAGAACATAGTCTGTGACCAGACTTGATTCTTGGCCTGCAACTGCTATAGCTTTCATAAATGCATCTATCTCGGGATCTGGTTTGATTCCCAATTCCTTTTCGCGCCTTGACAGCTCTGTGAGGAGATCATATCTTGTTCCAACTCCTAAACTACGTCCGGCAAAATCCAACGTCTCTCTGACTGTCATCTCTCCATGATGAAGGTCATGCTGACTGATATAAGCACAAGTCCTTTGAGGAATAAAATCTGAGAGCTCATGACCACAATAACTGATTTTTCCGGCAACCTAAGCACACGAACTAGTAGTTAGATATACATCATAGATTAAACACTTCACGCTGTAATTTCTCAACGTTGAAGAATCACATACTCTCAGATCCTTGTCTGGCACTCCAGCAAGTGATTTTAGCAATGTAGTTTTCCCACCTCCCGGAGGCCCAAGAAGTAGTATCATCCTATAAGATACAACAAGCACAATGTACTTTTCTGACTCCATTTGACGATAAAGCACTTTTCAAAATAAGTCGATTTTGGAAACTTCACCAAATAGATTATAGATGGAATGTCCATTTGACGAAACACACTTTTTAAAATAAGCAGATTTTGGAAGCTTCGCCAAGACTACAGATGGAATGTCATTTATTGAACATACCTTGATGGTTTTACAATTCCACTTACATCACGAAGTATCTTGACGGCCCTTTTCTTCGAAGGGACAAGCTTGATTTTTTCAAGAGCCCCCTATGAAATTTGAACATAAAAAAGAAACTTGATTAAGACAAGTACCTTGCTGCACAAAGTGCTCACTCTATTAGCAAAATTAAACAATATAGAACCTCAGAATCAATATAATTGTTGAAAGGAAATAATACCTCTACAAAGTTGATGGTAGCATTCCACAGAGTAGGTAATGCTCTAGATCCATCATATGTATCTCCTTCGATGGAAAGATGCTCGTACCGAACTTCAATTTTTGGAATATCAATCCCAACCCTATATCATGCAAAAAAAAATCCTATTGATATACACATAATTTCCATATTTGGAACAATATCAAAACACCAAAATAAGATATTATTGAAAACCATGAGACACAATGTCCTCAATAGACAGAGTTATCCGATTCTTGTGATGGTAGATGAGGTAGCAAATACCTGATAAAACAGTCGAGGTGTGCAAAAACTAACCCCGATAATGAATATCAAGAAAGATTAAAGTGTTTTACCTATCAGTCCTATCTCTTAGCCTAAGAAGAAACCTCTCATTATCTTCTTCCACAATCCTAAGTATAGTTTCCATCAACTGCTTTTTATCTTGCAATCCAAGATTCGTTACATCAACTTCTTGATGAACAATCTTTCCATCATCCAATGTTTGTTTCAAAATCCCTTTCCTCAGCCTATCATATGTTGGAAGTCTCTCGATTGCAGCCCATTTTAGCTCGTCTTCATCGTCGTTTTCCCTCCCATTTCGCTGGAAAACATCACCTCCTGGTGCAGTTAAAACTTCTGTAACACTTGCTGAAGTCCAGCTTCTTACACTTGTTGATCCAAAACTCATTCTCCTGCTCCTACTCGTCGATCGTCGGCTTAGAGACTTGTTCAATTCATCTTTGCTTATAGTTGCTGACATTTTCACTTTATGTAAAACTCAAATTTACACCTTTGGAATCACCTGTTGTCAATTCAATATTTTAGGATAACCAGAAAAGATTTAAACTTTCTGAATCAAACACCCTTTCCAGTTCAAGATTTTTCACCAAAGATCACATTTTTACGAGTTTTCTACCTGAACTACCACCAACTACATATCAAAACACGCCTCAACTCTTGGTTATTCCTTTCTACCTAAACGATGATGATATTTCAAGGAGGAAAAGGGAACAATTGATAGTTGAGGCGTGTTTTGATAAATAATTGGTCATAGTTCAGGTAAGAAACTCACAACATACTCTATACTTCATATACGAAACTCGAAAAACCAGGATACTTTAGGTGTGTTTTTTACCATTACACATTGAATAAAGTTTACTTACTTTCAAGTTTCATATACACACATTAAACTCAAAATTGCACCTTCTTCATATACAAAAAAAGATTAAATTTCAATGAATCAAATACCCTTTTTCATAATTCAAAAACTCAAAAAATTTCACCTTTGTAATCCCCTGCTTCTAATTCAAGATTTGTTCAGCAACTTGATACCTACAAAAGACAGTCCAATGCACTAAGCTCCTGCTCCCGAACCACAATAGTCTATTGTACGCAGTCTTGCCGTACATTTCAGCAACAACTTGATACACACAAAAGATTATGGATAGTCTCTAAAACAAGAAGTATATAAAAAAGAAGTTGGATAGTATCATTATAGAGAAAAAAAAACTCAATTTGTTTGTATACACATCACTTTTTTTTTGATGATTTCATCTTTATATATATATATATATATATATATATATATATATATATTCTGAAAAGAAAAAAACAAAGGAGGAGTCTTTTATCATGCAACGCTAAATAGTCGTCCACTCAATCGCTTAAATTAAATAGAATGACATGATTTTTTCTAGATATCAAAATTTATATGATTTATATATATTTTCTAGAAAAAAGTAAACAGTAAATTCGACTAATTTTTTATATTCTCTCCATTTCATACTCCTTCTAGTAAAAATATTTTTACTAATTTATTTTTAATTTAATAATATTCTAATATAATTTTTTACTATATAAAATATAATCATACTGAATATATTATTATTGTCGTGTGAGAAAGGAACCAATGAATATGCATATTATATGGAGTTAGGTGTATTTCCAATTGGAAAAAATTATTACTAGAAATGATTTCTTAACAGACTTTTTATTTCTTAGCATTAACTTTATTTGACTAAAAAATAGGTTAGTTATGATTGGATGAAAGTGTATAATATAAGATATTTGTTAAATAAGTGGATTGAATAGAATTTCAGTAGGTTAAATTAGGCCTAGTTAATAAATGGGCGAGATATCGAACCATTCAAAAGATACTTGGGCTGTAATAAACGAAAATGTAGATCATAACTCAATTCGTCAAATTTTTTACTAAATTCTAATTGCTTTATTTATTCTTTTATAAAATAATTTACTACTTCGTAAAAAAATAATTAATCATGATTATATATTATATCAAATTAAAAAAATATATTTTAAAATATACATTTCCTGTGTTAATTTAGACTACATATTAACTCGATTATTAGTGAGCTGAAATAAATTGAACTATAAATAGGCAGATCAATAATCTATTTAAACTTGAACAAATTTAATGAGTCGGATTTGATTTTGTCACCGCTATATTACGTGTGAAAAAGGTGTGGAGTCAAATAAATGCTAATGTTTGACAAATGAATTTTCTTGGACCCACGGACTCATACTATTCTCTCTCAAGGTGCTTTCCCCACTAACTTATTGCCTTATCTCATCTATTTGTAACTCACCACCAAGTAACGTAGCGGAGTTAGAAATTTCGAATTTGAGTTTGAATCGATGCGATGGAGTTTTAAGGCTTTGCTTCGTGTATCGTATGACGTTATACTTTGAATTATTCTTTTTAATAGACTAACGTAATAACATTTTGTTTGATCTATTTAAGGTTATTTATTAATATTTATAATTATTATTTCAGTAATTTGATAATATAAAAATTCATTTACGCTATCGTATAGTACTTTCATTTAATTTCAAGGATGGATAGTCATACAATAAAATGCCATATGTAATGCATGCATGGTGCCAATGACTTTTTTTCTTCTTCAAATTTTATGATTATACTATCCTATCCGTCACAACCTCGACACGTGGTTATAAATTATAATCCCAATGTTAATATTTATGAAAGAAATAAATATCTATGCTTATTTGTCAGAATTCATTAAAACTATCGTAGTCTAGTCCAGCTACTACAACATTGGATATTTATTGACAAATGACATTTGTTTCACTTATTCAACTCTTGAGCTCAAATATAAGGAAATGTAAATTAAAAGAAAAAAAATCATTAGAATTCAACATCAAGGCTTGTACTTTATGCTATAGGGATTGCACTTTCAATTTTTCAAAATTCATAATCATATCATATCATTTATATATATATATATATAAGAGAACTTTAGGCCCGCCTACGTGGCTTGTGATTTTTATAAAAAAATGTGAATTTTATTGAAAAGTTGTGACTTTTATGAAGAGTTGTTACTTTTATGAAATGTTGTAACATTTATGAAAGGTTGTGACCTTTTCGAAGAATTGTGACTTTTTTCAAAGAATTGTGACTTTTTCGATAAGACACAATAAGCATTTGTTTACATTACCCTTTTGTCTTTAAATAAAGAGATTTCCTCTCATTTTAAAACAAAGAAAATAATAAACTTCTTCTTCTTCTTCTTCTTCTGCACAATTAAATATTTGTATACTTTGTTCCTGTTGAGTGACTCACTAACACTATTGTTTTTGTATCGTTACATTGGTGAATAAAATTGTTTCACCTTGAGAGTATCTATTTCTTTAAACCTCGGGTACTAGAGGGGAATGATTTTCTTAAGGAGACATTGTGCATTCAGTGGGCTCGATTTTTCCTTTCTATTTCATTCTATTGTTACAGGTCCTGGTATGTTTTTTTACAGTCATTAATTTATGCTAATGATACTAATTTTTGAGTACATGTTTTAAACTTTGTTGTTTATATTTTTGTAAAGTTATTATTATACGTATTTGTTAGTACAAACTCTATATAAATTCAACTACTGCAGATTCACAAATAACTTTTTGCAAAATACATTTATTTAGAATATTCTCCAAAGAAATCATTTTTCTCCAAGAGATCAAGCATAAAAATTTATATGATTTTTTGTTGTCATAATAATGTTAATACTAACATGAGTAAAAAAAAAAAAAGTCAAATAATAGCATTAAAATTAGCAATTAATTACAATTATAAGATACACAATGATGATTATACTCTCAAACCAAAGTACCTTTTTGAACTTTTTTCCCATTATCCCTTACTTCTCTTTCATCCTTTTCAAGAATCCTTTAGGGTGTGTTTGGTACGAAGGAAAATGTTTTCCTGGAAAACAAGTTGATTTTTGACTTATTTTCTCATGTTTGGTTGGTGAGTAGAAAATATTTTTCGGAAAAGATTTTTAGTGTTTGATTTATGAATGAAAAATATTTTTGAGAAATATCTTTTATTTTTACTAAAGTAGAAAATAATTTTTTAAATTGAAAAATAGTTTTTAAAAACAAACTTAAATTTTTTTTTTGGGGGTGGGGGGTGGTAGGGAGTGGGTGAAGGGGGGGGGAGTGGTAGGGGGTGGGTGGGTGGGGGTCGAGGGTGGGGGTGAAAAAATTAAATTTTGAAATTGAAAATATTTCTTAAAAACCAACTTGAAAGTTTTTATTTTTTTTTTGGGGAGGGGGGGGTGGGGGGCTGGTAGGGGGTGGGTGGGTGGGGGTTCTAGGGATGAAAAAATGAAATTTTGAAATTAAAAATATTTTTTAAAAATAAACTTAAATTTTTTGTGGGGTGGGGGTGGTGGGGGGTTCAAGGGTAGGATGAAAAAATGAAGATTTGAAGTTGAGAATATTTTTTAAAAACAAACTAAATTTATTTTTTTGGGTAGGGGGGGGGGGGGGGGGGTTAGGGTAGGGTGGGTGGGTGGGTCGAGGGTAGGGTGAAAAAATGAAATTTTGAATTTGTAAATATTTTTTAAAAACAAACTCAATTTTTTTTTCGGGGTAGGGGGGGTGGTGATCGAGGATTGGGATGAAAAAATAAAAATTTGAAGTTGAAAATATTTTTTAAAAACAAACTTTAATTTTTTTCTTTTTGAAGGGGTTGGGGGCTAATGGGGGGCTGATGGGGGGGGGGGGGGGCGAAGGTAGTGGATGGGGGTAAAAAAATAAAAAATTGAAATTAGAAATATCTTTTAAAAACAATTTTTAATATTTTTTTGGGAGGGGGTGGGGGTAGGGGTGGGGGTGGAGTAAAAAAATTGAATATAAAAACAAGCTTTAAAATTTATTTTTTTCGGGAGGGGGGGGGGGAGTTGGTTGAGGGTGGTTTGAGGGGAGGGACAAAATAAATTGATTTTTTCAACAAAAAAATAATTGTAATTTGAAGTTGGAAGAGAGTTTTGGAAAATGTTTTCCTTAAGTTTAGAAGGGAAGTCATTTTCCTTAAATTTGAGGAAAATGAGTTGATTTGGAAAACATTTAGCCCAACCAAACATGAGAAAATTGGAAAACATTTTCCGGAAAATGTTTTCCTTCATACCAAACACACCCTTAATGTTTTGTTTTGTGCACAACTTCAATTCCAATAACTAATGTGTTTTAAATTTAATGTTTTGTTTGTGCGCAACTTCAATTCCAAAACACTATCATAACTATATTACATATGAAATTTGGATTTTGAAAGATTGCATTTTAATTTAAAAACACATAATGACTACATATTACTTATTTGTATATCATATGATTATGAAACCTTTGCTCTTGACAAACACAACAGTTATATATATATATATATATATATATATATATATATATTTAAAATATTTAATATTTTGGAAGTAATTGATAGTGTTATACTAATGAAATTTGCAAAGAAGAAAATTGAG